GCCGATTCCAAAACTCTACCGGCTCGGATGGGGGACGGTATATGCAACCAAACAAGGTACTATCTTTGCCTGTGCCAGCTCTAAGCCACATCAACTCTAGACTGGAGTGTGAGTGGTCCAAGATGTGCTTAGCCTTAACATGTTCCTTTACGAAGATGCAGATCCCGCCTCCTTTACGACATGGAGTGCAGGAGGATAGGCAAGTGCATCCATCAGCGCACGGCCTGTCTCGACGTAAGAGAATTGTGCCTGGTACAGAAACCTCAGTGTCCGAGATGCTTGAGTCGAGCCACGTTTCCGTAACCGCCAGCAGATCTAGGCAGTGCTCATCTATTAGCTTAGTTATATTATTATTATTATACGCATTCCCGCGTTGAAGTGTAGCAGCAATATGCTGCGTCCACAGCTTCGCTTATGCAGAATGGCTTGGGTGAGAGGAGAGGGGAGAGAAAGCAACAAGGCAACCAACATCTATGAAATTGGTCACAATAACATGAAGAGAACCAACCTAAATATGCATGATTGCACAAGAATGGAGACGACAAAATATAATGGCTATAAATAAAAAGCCTATAATCATTGTGCCACAAAACCGGTACACAGGAGATCTGTCGACAATGTAAAGAAACATAAAACTCAGTTACTCAATACAGGTTCCACTAAATTACAAGAGAACAACGCTACAACGTTAGAATTGCTGCAAAATTATTGCAAGTGTAGAGAACGAGTCCAATACAAAATGAAAACCATGAACAGACTGACCCGAAGTTATTTTGGGAACAAATTGTACTACATGTACTTGCTGACACTGACGCTGACGGAACACGAATTTGAGTTGAATACTCACGAAGTCTTGTACATGCACATCATTATGCGCCGGTGTTGTGGAGTAAACAGGTACGTCAGTCACCAATCCAGCTTCAGCTCCACGCTCGCTTCAGCAGAATGTTGCCCGCGTTTGCTTTGCCTCCACACGGATAGACGACCAGCGCAGAGTCCCGCAGCTCCGTGGCCGTAAGGTTTTGATATTCGCCGTTAGCGCCGTCAAGTCTCAGTCCACCTCTCACACCAAGCCGCCCTATGAAAATCTTTCTCTCTCCATTGGAGTGCTCCCCAGTTGCGCGAGGAGACTAGAGAAATTCCTCCGGTGAGCGAGGAAGAAGAGCGGAGTTACCCAACTCAACCATTGGCTTAGTTATAACATGGGTTTTATGTCGTAGGCTGCAAATGTTTATGTGGCCAACATTTAGTCGGTTGGATGGATGAATTGTAGAGTAGAATGCTGGGGTTGAGGGATTTGGAGACGAAGGGGTGAACACAGGAGCATGCGGGTTCAGAGGCTGTGAATACCGGTAGGTGGTGTGTGGCATTATGTGAGTGCTGGAGCTGTGCCGTCAGCACCAAAGCGCCATTCACGAACTGCAAAACCGAGCGAGTCCGGCCAAAATGCTTTGTCCTGTACGGTGGTGGCGTCCGACGCCAGCACTGTGACCCTGGCAAACCCTGTTCGGAAGCGCTCCGAGGTGTACACAACACTCTGCACGATGTGTACATCCTGTGCCTGACAATGCTCTGCAATTGATTTGGCATCACATTCGGGGTCCACGTTGCCAACGTAGAACACTAGGGAGGTTTAGTCCCACGTAATCCGTGGGTACTTTACGTGGGTGTACCACGTGATACTCAGTGACCCACGTACAGACGTTTTCTGATTCACGATATGCCGTGGATGGAGGCTCACCCACGTTCGGTCAGAACGCGAGTGAAAATGAAAGTGCAGCACATTGCGCTGGTTGTGAGTGTGCTCAAATGTAGCAGATTTAGATCACCCGAAATAAAACTAAAATGTGGAACGTGGGCGAGTTTCACTTTCACCTGCTCAATTTTTGTAGTTTCGTGCAGTCGTCTCACTTTTTGTAGTTTCGTGCAGTCGTCTCACTTTTCTTCGTCATCGATCATGGCTGATGTTGAGGAGGTGGTTGTGGTCGGTACGCCGAAGATCACGCCAACCAAAAATACTGTTCGTTTCTCGCTGAAGGATGATATAGCTCTGTTCATGGAGGTATCAACCTACGACCGGCCTTTCCAGTAAGTGAAATTTTCAAATAAACGACATACGATTTCGTTCCCATATTTAGAACTGCCTTTGTATAACTAATTTCATTCCCATATTAGGATTGATTTTGCATGTTATGCTCTGTGTTGTTTAGGTACAACTCACCCCACTGGGCAAAGGTCGCCCAGACCATAAAGGGGCAGTCTCCCAAATTCGTGAACTCTGGAGAGAGGACCTTCAGGGAAAGGTGCCAGAACCAGGTCAAGGCACACATACAAGGGGGGAACACCAGTCTCAAACAGTAAGAATTCTTTTTTGGGAACATGGTTTTCCGTTGTGAAATGCTGTGGTCATAATAATAATAATATTATTATTGTAGAAAGGAAAAGGACATCATAATAATACGAGTTAAGAGTAACTCTCCATCACTGTAACTGGACACTATATACAGTCAGAAAGTGCAATAACTAGGCACAAAACTGACAGAGTACTGAGACATTCGACGTCCTGACACCTAGCTTCAACACATCTTCGTAGCGCTAACCGACAGCCTTCCAACTTGGAAGGTTCAAGGTTATGAAAAGACCAAAGAGGGGAAGGCAAGCGCAACGAAAACGAGCAAAAGCTACAGTCCCAACGGAACAAAGAATGTCGATTGTTAGGTACTGGACGATGACGTGTGTGTGTGTGTGTGTCAAGTCGTCGGCGGAATAGCGCGAGCTCCAGTGTGGGAGCAAACCCATTCCTAAACAAAATCATCGCCGAAGTCGCAACCTCTATTTCGTATTATTATTATTATTATTAAATTTTGAATAGGGCATATGCATGGCAGATGGTTATGTTCATTAACCTTCATTCACCTTCAGCCGGCTTCAAGTCATTTGGTTGTGAGATACATGTACCTCCCATATTTACACTTTTCACACTCATACTTTTATACACATGTATAAAGAGTGGCTTACAGTTAGACCTGACAAGTAAGTTGACAAGTGCTCTACGAGAGAGGTTGGAAGCTCAGGGCCCTACGCTATGCTTTTTTGCCTTCATGACCTAGACAAAAAAGCATAGGGATGTTATAAATTCTTATAAGTTTCTACTTTTTGTTTTTAGACATAACCTGGGATTCGAACCCGCACTATCGCCCTGCATGTCTCCCCCGATACACTTCACATACATACTAATTCTTCCAAGTTGCTTCACGTTATGATCTTGTATTTGAAAGCCCTATTTGAATATGCATTGTGGCCAGCCGTCTTTGATTGTACGGCACGGTACGGGATAGGTACGGGACAAGTACGGTCGAGGGTAATACGACACCATCTACCGCCTTGATGACGGCAAAAAAAGAAAAGGGATGTTATACATTTTTCAATTCTCCTATTTTTGTTCAGGCATTACCTGGAATACGAACCCGCACTATCGCCCTACATGCATTCCCCCATACACTTTGCATTCATACTCATTCTTCCAAGTTGCTTCACAATATGATCTTGCGTTTGAAAGCCCTATTTGAATATTGCGGCCAGCTGTATGTGGCCAGCTGTGTTTGATGGTACGGTACGGTACGGGACAGATACGGGATAGCGCCAGGCGTGACACAAACACACAAACAAACACCAAATTAAAGCTGTGTGGACCCTGGCTAGCGCCAGACGTTACTGAAGTAACGTCTTCTGCATAGCTGCGGGAATAAAGTTTAATTTCAATCAAACTCTCAGTCAAATTGCAGCTGCATGCAGTTAGTCTCCAGCCTTCCAATCAATTGTATGAATAATTATGTATGTTTTATGTTTGTGGTGTGCTGTCTTGGATTAGATCAGGAACCGCTGAAGACTATAGTGAAAAAGATCGCTTGCTTGATGGCCTTGCGGAACTCTACAAAGAGGAGCAAGGTATCAAGATAGAGGCAGCAGAAAAAAAGAAAGAAGTTACGACCAAAGAGGAGGCGGACAAGGATCTCGGTGTGAGGATTATTCAAGGAGCAACAGCTACTTTGAAAAACAAGCCAACCACTCCGACAGGTGAGAAGTGAAAATGATTTGTGCTGTATTCTACTCTAGTACTTTCCATTGTGATCATTGACCAATGACCAGTGTGTTACAGATGTATTACAAAAAAACACATCATCATCATCAACATCATCATCATCACCTGCATGGCGTCCTGACTTGGGCGTTGTTCAAAACGTTTAACGTCATTCTTTACTAATTAAGTAAGTCATGGAATAACACTTCTGTGTTGTGTATTTCCTTTGTTTTGCACACCATGCAGGCAAGGAACCAGCACCTAAGAGGAGAAGGACATCGTCGGATGCAGTGGCTTCCCTGAACGACCGGTTGGGTGACCTCGTTGACATTCGGAAACGCGAACTGGAGCTGCGCGAACGGGAGCTTGCTCTGCGTGAAGCAGAGACGGCAACATACCGCACTCTGATTGAGAATAAACAGAAATAAACTACTTTGCTCTTAATACTTGCTGAATTGTAGCAGTAGTAAGTAACGAGCGGGTTCTGGGACAGGGGGCGCCCGGGTCCCAAAAAATGGGGTATTATTGAAAAATGGGGTACTAATAGTACCCCATTTTTGCGGTGAAAATTATTTTTGGCCCGGTTTTTTTGCGGATAAAAATAAGTGCCAGGGGGTGCCCCTACCTCAAAAAAAAGGGGGTATTATTGAAAATATGTATTGGGGTGTTATGCTCTACCCTAAACAATAAGGTAATATGGTGTCATGATTTGGAATTCTGCATGTATCATTAATTTTGATTTTTAGGGGTGGGTAATATGTCCTGCCCTACATCATAATATTGCATTCCGATGTCTAAAATATTACTATTTCTGTCAATGTTATCTCACTTTTTCCAATTTTATAATCAGAACTCATAGTTTTGCAGTATTTTGACTTGTAATTTCAATTTTTCGGATCATTTTCCGGATCTTCTGGAGACGGTACTCGATCATCCAATGGACTCTTCGACGGGATACATGGTGGAGTGCGATTTAAGGATTCCAGATGGTGTGCATGACATGATGAATGATTATCCGTTGGCTCCTGAGAAGATGAAGGTGACACGAGATATGCTTTCTCCATATCAGACCCACATGGCAGAGAAACTAATGGTAAGTCATGGTCTATCTGGTGGATATGCTTGTATTAATCTTCTAAGGTTTGTGCATATCTATACTGTACTCTTGTAGGTGAGCGGTTTGGAAGCGAAGAAACTGGTGCCAAATCTACTACCGAAAGAGCACTATGTTCTGCACTACAGAAACTTGCAGCAGTATGTGTCCTTGGGTGTGGAGATTACAGATGTGCATCGTGTGCTCTCCTTCACACAACACCCATGGATGAAGCCATACATCGACACTAATACTGACCTGAGAAAGCTATCAACTTCTGATTTCGAGAAAGACTTCTATAAGGTGGGTACTCCACATCATGTGTGTGTGTGTGTATTTAGCGATAGTGTGGGATCTAGTATGTACTGGAAGTGTGAATGACCTGAAGATAACAGTTTTCTTATTGTTGTTTTTCTTGTCTTTTCTTTGTATGCCTGTTTATCGTAGTTGATGAACAATGCTGTATATGGCAAGACCATGGAAAACGTTCGAAACAGAGTAAACATCAAGCTCATTCGTGAACAGGATGAAAAACCACGTCTCCAGAAAAGCATCAACAAACCTTCGTACATCCGCAGTGTAACCTTTGAGAACGATCTGATAGCAATCGAGTTTGCCAGGACAAAGGTGACTCTCAATAAACCCATTTATGTGGGTACAGCCATCCTCGATCTGTCGAAGCACTTGATGTATTCCTTTTACTATGAAGTTCTCCTACCCCGCTATGGACAAAATGTACGTTTGCTCTACACTGATACTGATAGTCTGATCGTACATATTCAAACGGATGATCTGTACACGGATATGTCAAACAACATAACAGCCTATGACACATCCAACTATTCACCATCCCACCACCTGTACAGCACGGTCAACAAGAAGGTGGTAGGGAAGTTCAAGGACGAACTAGGTGGCAAACCCATCAAGGAGTTCATTGGTTTGCGGAGCAAGATGTACGCATACCGCTGTGAAGACAACGACGACAATGGCAAGCGTGCCAAAGGTGTGCAGAGAAGCGTGTTGAAAAACACCATAACCGTCGATGATTATCGAACATGTCTCGTCGAGGAGTCTCAGCTGAAGAGAACAATGAATGTTCTTCGAAGTCGACGACATTGCATTCACGGAGAGGACCTACACAAGATTGCCCTCAGTGGATTCGACAGTAAGCGCTACATTCTGGAGGATGGTATCAACACCCTGGCATTCGGACACAAGGATATTCCAAAGCACTGATGGATTTCCACACATACTAGAGCATATGTCATATCTTCTCATGAAATACATTGTAAATACTATGCGATTCATAATATTCACGTTAATCCAAAGCATGAGCTACATTGTACATATGAAATGCTAATACTTTTTGAGATCATTCACATCCTTCTTTGTTAACCAGGTATGGAATTTTTCGTCTTGATAACCCTTCCATTTGACGAGCCGACTGTTCTTGTTGTATTTCAACACCTTATCGAATCTCAATCCTGTGTGTCTGGCATGTTGTAGCTCAGCTCCATAGAACTGTCCTTGAATGACTTCTCCCATCAGGTCTTGAACACGATAGGTGTGGGGTACAGTGGGTAGGACATCGTTTATCATGAACACTTCCTCTGTCCAGTTGGGCGTGTACCCTTTCTCGAAATGACGTTTAGCCACAGCCAAACGCACATCATCGCCCACTTTGAATTTAGCTGGTGATTGCTTCGAGTGTACGTCTGCATCTTTTGGTTTTCCATCAAGAGAAGCTTTCGTGGGACTCATGCCGATACTGCGATGTTTCGAGCTGTTGTACTTGGCCATAAGCTGAGGAAGGACGTCAAGATACTGTGTCGTAGCTTTCTCCGTGAAATGGCGCCACATTCTGCCTTTCAGTGTTCTATTGAAGCGTTCCACCACCACGGCTTTTCCTTCGTTGTGGGTGCTGTACATGATGATGTTGTGATCCTTGACCCATTGCTTCATTGTTGCATTGTAGAACTCCTTGCCTTCGTCTACCCATAGTTTTTGTGGTACCCTGTTCGATGTTTTCAGGATCAGGTCGAATGCATCCCTGACAGCAGAGCCAGTTTTGGTTTTCAGGGGTACTGCCCAGGCATAGCGACTGTACAGATCGATGACGGTCAGCAGGAATTTGTAGTTCTTGTTGCTTCGGGCAAACCGTTGCATATCCACTAGATCGGCACTCCAGATGTGATCCACAGACCTGCTCTTCACCTTGCGTCTTTTGAAATGCACTCGTCTGGGTTTGTGCAATTCGTTAGCCAGTTGCGTGTGGAATGGTGTGGACTGCGACTTCTTCTTCTGTCTTCCATCATGAAGTGCTTTTTGCACTTTCGTATCCCACAAGGCTCCACCACCTCGCAAGGCACCTAAACTGAGAACCAGTTGATCGTTTTCCAGCTTTTCATCCTCATCGAAGACTCTTCGGAAAATTCGAAGTGCTTCATCCAGACCATATTTGGAAAATAGCTTTCCCATCAATATGGCATACCATCCACATACTGCTGTGCTTCTGTCTTGAACGGCTTGGGTGTTGGTGATGATCTTACAGTCTGCATAGGCTTCTTTAAAGAAATCGCACAGTGCAGGTTCAGTGTAATCTTGCTCCATAGTGTATAGACTGCGTCCGAAACTGTCAAAAACCAGGATCACGTTTTGCTCGCGACACACGGTCAACCAATGATGTCCACCTTCCGGTGCATCGTACACCGGTAGAACGTTGTCGGTGTTGACGATACAAAAGTCTCCATTGTTCAAGGGTGGTAAGAGGTCGTAACTTGTACACCCCACGAACCCTCCAACACCATTCAATCTTCCTTTGATGTCGGCACTGCTGAGAGGGTAGTCCATTCTTGATCATAGCCTGAAAATTTTCGCGCGCGTGATCACATTGAACGTCCACTCAGGATATCCTTGATGATACGAGTGATCCTGCTTTTATCCTTCAGAACCTCTTGAATGAATGATGCATCGTCCACCATCACCTTTTGTGCTCTGATCATGAAATGCTCGGGATGGATCAATTTTGCTTCAGTTGTTCTACCATACGTAGAAGTCATATCGTTGAGATCTTGAAACTTGAGCTGCGATCCTGGTACAGCTAGCACTAGGGTGGCTAGTTCATGAATCTTTCGTTCTGATCGAAGGAATCCATCGACATGTTTGTGGATTCCCACCGCACCCGCTATGGTTGCAAACGGGTACCTGGACATGTAGATGCGATTCGTCTCGTTGACCAGAGTAGTGTAGTCGTTCATCGTCTGCGTCTTCAGGGCATCCGCAGCCGCTTCCACCCGACTCCTGAACCTCAGTCGATCTTCATCGTAGAGTTGCAGCAGTTGTGATCGGCTTGTGAAATAGTTGCTCTTCAAAAAGGTTGCCGGTATATTTGTATGTCGGAGGAAACTGTCCAGGATTTGTAGGATCCATCGGTCAAATTCGTGGTCTTGTAATAGATTGAAAGGCACTGATGTTAAAGGTGCCTTTCTCTTCTTCCTGACATCTGCAACGGAATCGCGAACTTGATCGGTAGTGGAATCATAGTTGAGTATGTTGGATGCAATCACATTTCTCACAGACGGGTAACTGATGTGATCGGGATTGTTTTTGAAGTGGGTGTCATATAGACGCTTTACTCGCGGATCAGCTTGCAGTTCCAACAGGGTGGAGGTGCTCAAACTGTGATCTGGCACTTGGGAAAGAACTTTCTTGACGCTTTTCAAGTAGGTATTGTAGTTATTACCTCCTTTTTGCCGCATGAGTGGTGGTATACCGAGAACTTCCCACGAATTTACTCTCTTCTTGAGGATGTGTTGAGGATGTTTCGACATAAACTGCAAGGTTTGCAACCTTTTACGCTTGGGTATCGAGAAGGATCGCTTTCTGGACCCCACCCTCTGTATACTGCTCGGTAGCCCATTTGAGAATTTCACCGTAAGATGCTCCATTCTTATTCATTATTGGAATTTTTTTCAATGTTTCGGCTAACTTTTCGGCTAACTTTTCGGCTAACTTTTCGGCTAACTTTTCGGCTAACTTTTCGGCTAAACACGCACATCAACGAGGTTTTTATTCAAAAGTCACCTTTAATGCAGTGTCTTCGCAATACGTGTAGTACTGATTAGAAGAGCAATCAATGGTTAGGATAGGTCTGCGACACACCGCCAATAACTTCTCATACAATCTAAAGATAATGGATGACTTCGTGCACAGACCACCAAACAGAGTATTGAGATAACGCTTGATATTGCTTTTATCAGTGAAGCGAAATAGATACATAAAGTTTGCATTGATCTTCATGTCCTTAATGTTATCAAAGCTCTGAGAGAGAAAGAACACGTTCAACTTATGATGATGACTGTACATGGTGAAGAACTTGTAGAGACACTCTCTTTGGCTGCCGTGCTTCAAACCCATCACTCTGATGTCATCAATGATCACATAGGTGTTAGGCTGGAGATCCATGTCTTCGATACACTCGGGCATGGTGCTGTAATGCTTGAAGGATTTGAGGCTTGGGAGACGATACTGATCGGCCGGCGTGTTGGAGATGACAACTATACGCTCAGGTTGCACACGTTTCAGGAGCTTGATGAGAAAGTAGGATTTACCCATGTTGCTCTGTCCCAGAAACAATACGTTTTGACCCCAGGATTTCAGAGCAGGAATGATTTCCGTGAACCAATCCTTAGACTCGAACTGAAGACCAGGAATGTGCAGCCCGTGTCGAGCAGTGGCCGTGGTCGGAACATCGTCGTTCCTTACGGGACTAGTCTTTTTCTTCCTCCCGATTTCCTGTCCAAGGAGCGAGATAAAGTCCATGATCAGATGTTGTAGGATGGACCGATGTGAGCGGAACTCATAGAAGACGGTCCTGCACTGTTAATGTTCTGTCGAATTTTTTGAGCAAATGGAGTTTCAGGACGGGTTAGGGATCTACGAGGTGCAGACAGGAACGATGAAGCTTCGTCGAGGGCACGATGTCCTAGTTTTTTGAACAAGGCCCTTCCTTGTTTCTTTATTCCTCGTGCCCTGCGGCCTTTGGAGCGAACTTGACGAGCTGGTTTCTTGGTTTTTCGAGATGCTCGTTGACGAATCTTCTTCGGTGCATGCCGACGACGACGACTTTTAGTGCGCTTCATGGCACCTGCTGAGCTTCCCTTCCTTACTCCTCTGCCGAATATTTTATCCATTACGTTGTCACCCAGTGATGCCATGGTACCCATGGCCAAGGGAGCAGCCAGGTTCGTCAGGAGTGGTATGGCCTTGGCGGCTAATCCTGGTGGAATGGCTAGACCTCCTCGGTGCATGGCAGGGTTGTAAGCTGTTTTCATTTGCGCTTCCACAATGTCTCCGGACTCTCCTCTCCCCAAAAGCATGGGAAGAAGTGTCATTCCTGCCATGGCAGCCAGGGGTCCAAGTCCACCGCGTTGCATTGCATCTTGTTTTGTCGTGGGTTCCGCCATCTGCTTTTCCATCTCATCCGGTCCAGCACCGATTAGGTTTTTCCAGAAGCTCTTTTTCCAGAAGAATCCACCGTGTTGTCGACTCGATGTTTTCAAATCACCACCGTAGACACGATGTCTGGTCTCCAGGTCAGCACCTTCCATGATGCCCTTTTACTACTAGGTCGGAATTAATTCATACAACTTCGGCTTTGATACCTTCATCTTTGCTCATGGTGTACAAGTACTTGTCCATGCAGAGAAGGTTGACTTTGATCGAGGCGCCATTTTCGCTAGGTCTCCTCACGGGGGCGTTTGTCACGTCGCTAAATTGATAGTCGATGGACAGATTTCCTCTCGATCTTGGATTGTCTGTGGTCCGATCCAGATTCAAGTTGATAGGCACCATAAAGTAGTGATTGCAGTAATCTGCAGCGGTGATGGGGATTTGCGTTCCATACGTCTTGCCGAAAAAGTCTTGAACCAGATTGTAGCCACGCAGGTAGGAGGATTTGTTGTAATCGTAGAAGTATTGCCCTTCAGTATTACGACTCACATCCCACTGGAACTTGAGCGGGTTGTCAAAGAGCGTCTGGTCGTTGACAGTGACACGAAGTTGACTGAGATTTGCATGAATCATGGCCAGTCTGTTCGAAGAATGCGATGCTTGGCCTCCAGCCAATGCTGGCTGTGTACCATGAGTCAAATCTGTGAAGAACAGGATCATCCTGCGTGGAATGTCCGCATTGTGAAGCAGTTCCAGTGTACCAGCATCATCTGAAATGCTCTTTTGTAT